AGCGGTGCAGTGGGCCGCACCACGTTCAGTTCATAGCTCTGGCAGACGTGCGGCCGCTAGTCCGCGAGGCATGCCTTGAGCCACTGAATTCCAAGTCGCGTGGCGGCCACCTTGCTCAATGTGACGTCCAACATCCTAAAGAAACGCGTAAGAATACGTTGACCACGTAACCTCTTACTTACTGGGCAGCGAAGACTGATAGTGGATTTTTTGGAACGGATTGACTGGGGTATTTCATTACGGTGAAGGTAGTGTGTGCCTCTGAGACACAGCGTAAGTGAGCCGTACATACACTTGCAGTGACCACCGGGGCTGCACATCATCAGATTTGCTCCTGGATCGATCTCCTTCACCGGTCTGAACGCAGAAAGCAGTGAGAACAGATACAAGTGACACAGAATCGCACAACGTACTCCGTTCATCGGCAATACGCAAAACTACGCTTCCACACAGCCAAATCATCAAAGATGCGCGGAGAATCCCAATGCCGATCACAGTACCACCTCGCCCGCAACCCAGCATCCAACCCAAGCTCTCTCCTGACCAACTCCGCCGCCTCTCCCGCTCTCTGCACACCACCCCTCTCTCGTAGGGAGTAGTTCGAGCAGAGCTGGACCAGGATGTCCGTGCCTTCAGGTAGTCCATTAGCGTGAGCATACCCCGTCCGGAAACCGTGCTGTCTTCTGAAGTGCATGGCGATGTGGCATGCGAGGAAGGCTGGATTCACGCGTCGGTTTGCGTTTAAGGGAGGGAATGAGCCGGGGAAGGCGATTTCGAGGTGTTCGGCGTAGGCTGAGAGGGTGTTGGTCGGCACGGGTAGTCCGAATTGGATAAGGGCGGACGTGTCTGAGGAGAGTTATGCTCTGTTGGCAAGTATCTATCTGGCAGGTTCTCTCTAGGCTATAATGACGAAGAGAAATGTACACAAGTAAGCATTTGTTGCGCCTGTGAAGAGTCGACGGACGCACCTGCCACTGGCTCAGATCTTCGTCGTCGTCGTCTTCCTCTTCATCCTCTTCGTCGGATGTGTGGTAGTCGTGGCCATCAGCAGTTCTTGTTACTAGGTCATCGAACTGCTCTGCGACATTAACAGCAAGCGGGTGTGTACGAGAAGGTGGTGGCTGGGCCTCAAGCTTGTTGAATCGAGCAATGTCTAGAGCATGAGAGGTAGAACCGGAGACCATGATGCGGTATGTGCAAGTGCTGAAGAGAGCGAACCAGGACGTAATGTGGCCAACTCCTCCTGGGCGTGGTGGGTCACGGTGTCGCGTACGCGAGACCGAGGTTGTACGCGACCATCGTTCTACTAGAGCATTTTTGTCCCGTGAGGAGCATTGGCCAGCCTTCGAGCCTTCAAGGGGACGTGCAAAATGAATGTCATGGTGATATACACCAGAGATGTCGGTGGTGCAGAGCAGAGTGGGAACAAGCCTAGGGCGCCTGAAGATGATATGCCAGTGGCTCGAGTCTGAGCGTCATCAGTACTTGGATCTCTCCCTCCACCATCGTTTTAACTTTGCGCTGTGTTCGTGCGCCTCACTCTTCAAGAACGCGTCGAATTGCTTCAAAACCACATCAAGCATGTTGGACCAGATCGAAATGCAGGGGCTGACTTTCGGTCGCGTGGCAAAGAAGCGTGGCTGACCCCGCGTCCGCCTCCACTTTACAACAGTTCGTCCTGTCTTCTCTTCCTCACAGACCTCTCATCTTCTGCTCCTTGCTGTCACATTGCTATCCACAGCCTATTCCCCTAATATCTTTGTCTGCGACAAAAGCATGCGCTCGTACTCCATCTCCTCCGCCGACTCCTTCTACCCCTCCCCCATCTCCTCCCGCGCGACCTCTCCCCACCCCCACGACGCCCAAGCCACTCCCCGCGTCTCCACCGGCATGCTTCCCCCCATGCCTCCCCAACATAGTGCCTTCATGATGCCCAAGCCCGGTCCCGCCGTCGGCAGAGAAACCATCGCTTTCGTCGCCCACCCCCAACACTGGGACCCCGCCCTCGCCCAGCAGTCAGCCGCTCCCGCTCCCGCTCCCCCGCCCGACATGCAGAGCGCACCCGGCGACATGGCCCACCTCTTCACCCACCCTGCTTCTCTTCCCTACAGCCAGACGCGTCCGGGGTTGTTCACGCACCATACCACCGGGAGCGGCGTTGGGAAAGTCAGGAGAGGCGGTGCTAGGGACCCGTACCCGAGGATGACGACGACGCAGTTCGTGCATTTGTCGCCGAGTGTGTTGTCAGGCCCGATGCCGAAGTTGAGGACTCAACAGGCCTGTGAGACGTGCAGGCGCAGGAAGGCCAAGGTTCGTCTTTTTCCTCTCCCGCTTACTTTCTTTGCGACTCGAGACACAAGCGGCTGACAGCCATCGCTTCCTTCCAGTGCTCAGGCGACCGCCCCTCCTGCCGACGCTGCCTCGAACGCGGCATCGACTGCGACTACGCCATGATCGACGAACGCGCCCGCGCCGCCTCCCGCCGTGCCAAGATCACCGCCGCCCGCATGGAGCGTCGCGCCAACAGCAGCAACGGCGGCGTTGACGGGTTCCTCAACGTGAACGGCCAGATGTACCTCGCGGTCGACCAGATCCCTACGCGGGGAAGACCGCGCACTAGGCCTAGGCCGGAGCTTGTGAAGTATGCGACGGAGGGGTCGGCGGTGGGGTATGGTGTGGATATGGATGTGGATGTGGATTGTGAGGATGAGGATGAGGGTGAGGGTCGGTCGGGCTTTGTCTCGCACGCGCAGTCTGAGCCTGGGTTTAGTGGGCAAGACGAGTCGCAGGATATGGACGACGACGAAGACGGGGAGGAGGAGACAGAGTTGGTGGTAGTCGAACTTCCTCGAGGCCAGAAACGCCGTACGCTCTTGGACTTGCTCAACCCCGTGTCAGTCCATCCCATGTCCATGTTCAAGCAGCGTTCCGGAGGAGAGGGTTCTACTATGGCTATGGGGAAGCAGCCGATGATGGCTCCTATCGAGTTCCCTGCTACCAACCCGACGATGGCTCCGCCGAGCGCGTTGCCTGTTATGATGGACCCTACGCTTTCGTCTTCGGGTCCTTCAGCGTCAGCTTCAGCTTGTGCAGAGGCTACCGCCAACTCCCCGGAAGCGCCGTCCCGCAAAGCAGGTCACGGCCGTATCTCCATCGCCTCCCTCGTCACCTCCACCTCATCCACCCCCGACCGTTCCCACACCTCCCACACCTCCCACACCTCCACCACCACCCCTTCCTCAATCGGCACCGGCCTCGCAGCCTCGGCGATCGACGACCTGAGCATGGGCTGGTTGGAGAGCGCGCAGTGCGTGAGCCGGAGCGGGAGCGTGAGCGGGGAGTGGACGAGCGATGAGGAGGGGGCGGAGATTGATTTTGAGGCGTTGGAGAGGGAGGCGAGGGGTCATGGGTGAGTTTCGTTTTCTTTCTCTTGCTCTTTTTCTCTTTGTCGAGTTTGGTTTCCTGTTGTGTTTGCTGACGATGCGAACCTTTTTTGATACAGCTCTAGCTTCATGTCCTTCCCGACGATGTACGCCCCCTCCGCGGGGAATGTGCGCGTCGGGAACCCCGCCGCCACCATCGCCGACGTCGCAAGCCTCCAACCCACGATGGCCATGTACCGCAGCGCCTCATCCACCTCGTCCTCCACCTCCGAATACGAAGAAGAAGCGTGCGGCACTCACCCGATGTCTCGAACGTCGTCGGCGTCGTCTACGTCTGCGGAACCCGGAACGCCTGTGATGGCGCTGACGCCTCAGTGGTTGGGCGACGGGGGCGCGGACGACGAGTTGCAGGGGTTGTTTGAGCGGGCTGCGATTAGTAGCGAGGCGGTTTGTGTGGAGGGCGAGGGGTTGGGTGTGGAGGGCGGGTTGGGCGGGGGGAGTGTGCCCACGTCTCCGGTGTGTGTTGCTCCGCCGTACGAAACTGAGAGTGGAGGTGGGGACGGTGCGCTTCCTGTGGTGGGTAGGACGCGGTCTGCGCCTGGGACGGCGGCGGAGACTTTGAGTGTGGGTGTGAAGCCGAGTCTTATTCCGCGCGCGGTGCTTTCGCAGGTCACGGCGCCCCCGCCGCCGACGCGTTCTTCTGTATCTGGTCCTTCTGGTTCTTCTGGGTCGACTCCTCAAGCTCCGGTTCAACCTCAAGACACTACCGCAGCGTTCTCCCCCGAGTTCTCCTTCGGCAGCTTCGCATCTGGCTCAGGCGACCAGAGCGCGTTCTTGGACACCTCCCTCCTCGACGAGATGTTCAATTTTGACGAGTTCGTGATTCCCGAGGACTTTGATCTGAACGTGGGGATCATGGGTGTGCCCTCCTCCACCGCCGCGGGGAACGAAGACGCGGACGGGCCTGTTCAACGTTCTGCTGTTTGCAGAGAGCAGAACGCCCCCTCGCCTTCGTCTTCGCCCGTGCTCATGGCGACCGACGCGCCTTCCCCCGCCGCGATGGAGTCAGTGCCAAGCTCGACTTCCAGGACCTCGACTCTGGGCGACCACAGCAAGTCGATCATGGAAGAAGTGCTTTCTTTCGTGGCGTCTACTTCTTCTCAGGGCGTTCTTGCTGGGTTGTGTTCGCCTTCTCTTGCTTCTCAGGGGGCTCTTGCTGCGTCTGGCTCTGGTTCTGGGTTGACTGGGTCGGGCTCTTGTGCTGCTGAGTTAAATGGTGCTGGGAATGGGGCCGGGGCTGGAGGGTTGGAGGTGTCGGGCTCGGGATCGGGGTCGATGGGGGATGTGGTGATGACGAGTCCGGTGATGGTTTTGTGAGTCTGGGTTGGGTTGGGTTGGTGGTCTGTTGGGCTTGGGGGGTTGTGGGGTTTGTGTTAATGTTGCTTGGGTGGAAAGATGATATAATATAATTCAATAGTGGTTTTCCGTCTTCTTCTTGAAGTTCGAGTTCGACTGTAGCATCGGCACTCGTTCCATCTTTCAAGCGTGATGTGAAATTGCGAGCGAAGACCTTTCCTGTATCCTCATCAACATCCCTCCTCCTTAACGCTCACCATCGCCCGCCTAGCTCAATCGGATAGAGCGTCAGACTCTTACTTTGGTACAGAGAATGCACGGGTGACTTCACAGGTTGTTTCTACCCCTGTGATCTGAAGGCTGCGAGTTCGACCCTCGCGGTGGGCTATGAAGGATTTCATCCTAATAGGCTTTTTGCATTCCCCTGGTCCAGTCATGATCATCCTTCGTTCCACAACTCGCACTGTCTTTCGTTTTCACTCGTCTCCGGGGGTCTCTATCCGCCTTACTTCAGTATCCCACGTCATTGGCAAGCACACAATCCTTTTGATTTCTACGCGACTCCCGTACGTGGCGCGAAGTTCGAAGATGTCAGGTCCAAGTCGTTTACACTGGAAGACGGGCACAGGCAATGAGAAATGCTGAGTCGGGTCAACGTGCGTACTGCCAGTTCTTCTTTTTCGTTCTGCTCGTCCCAGTGTGCTGACATGCTTCTCCCAGCTCGACTTTCAAGAGCCAGCGACCGAGATTCATAAGCAACGTCGTACAGCGTATTTGCTCAAACTCCCACAGCGAGAGGTTGCTTCTACCAAACCCTCTGCTTTTGCCCTCCGTATCGGATGCCTCACTCAGCAGTTCGTCGACTTGAGATGCGTTTCCGCGTCGTCGGGAGGCGGCGATCGTGGATAATGGCGCAGGGAACCGACGGTCGACGTTGGGTTCTGGTCTTGCTGGCTGTGGCATAAAACGTCGTTTGCTTTGTCTCTGGAATTGCTATTCAAGACCCCATCGCCTTTCCATCTATCTTTTGAAGGTGAGTCCTCCAGCTCTGTCTAGAAGACCACAGGAAGCTAACACAGACCTATGATCGCAAGACAATGCCGTCCGGAATCTTCCCATCCTCGAACCTCCCGTCCCCGCTATCACCCCAGCTACAGACCTGCGTATCATGGCTCGAAGCCATCACCACGGCAGATTTCGACTCCCTAGAAAGATTGGTGACCGACGACTATACCCATACATTCTTGCCCCCGGAGTTGAATTCCACAAAGTTGATTGGCAAGAAGATGTTCCTTGAGTTCTTTAGAGGAGAGTTGAAGGATTTTGCGAGCTTTGGAGTGAGTTTTTGTTCTTGATACCTTGTCAGGTGCTGTCGCTCATGCGTTGAATCGGTAGATGACCATAAACGAAGTGGAGGAGACTCCAGGAGAAGTTGTGTGGCAAGTGAGTCTGAAATCTATCGCCGTATAACTGTTGTCTTAACGTCTGCTCTTCTCGATTCAGCTATCCTCGGATACCATGACGACGGGCGGATACCACTACACTAACGAATACACCGTGGTGATCTCAGTGTCGAAACAGGTGGATGGAACGCATCAAGTGGCAGGTGTCAGGGAGACGTTCAAGCATCCTGAGCTGTTGGCGGCTCTGCAGCGTGCGATCGCAGGGCAGAAGGTTTGAATACTGGGTGTGCAGTCTGTCTCGGCCACGTCGGTGAGTGACTTACATTGCAAGCCAGGACGATACTGAGGTGATTCCAGTCTCTTTAGCGTCAGAAACGTTGTAATAACCATGCACAGTCCAACTGTTGGAGTCGTGCGTCGCCCAAGCAAAAGTCTTTGAAAGCTTCAGCTCGTCGTCCAAGATGGCTCGCCGCTCTCGCAGCTTCGCGCTTCAGGGATCCACTCCAGCTGGGCTGCCTCCAGTCCAAATGGTTACCAGAGGGGACTCTGCTTACTGTCATGTTGCCGTCATTTCACCTGTGCTCAGACTGAGATCATCCATGAGCGAAGGGCCGGAGCTTCTATTGGATCGAACCCTGCAAGAGGTACTAGTACTACCCTCAAGGCCTCATCCCGATAGCGCGTCCCGCGCTGAGAATCTGAAGTTGGCAAAGGAACTTTCGACGATGATATCTCGGGATTCGCTTCCTGTGCGTCGGTTCTTTGGGTGAGGAGACTGAGTGATGGCCTCAGTTCGCAATGAAAATTCAATGGGACCTGGAAGAGCTGCTTGCAACAGTATGCAAGATCAGAGGAAACTAGCGAGCGATGGCGTAGATTTATTGCAGGAGAAAATCTCGAGGGAGTGTGGCGTGCTTTTTTGAACCCCCGCACACCGGACGAAAGGTTCAAATTCGATCACCTTGTGCATCTTTGCTCTCTCAAATTACGAACTGGTCTGAAGGACCTGAAGTCGAAGCTCGAAGTTTACTTCGAGATTCCAGTATTACCTGCAAATCCTTTGTGAGTATTTGTCGTTCTGTAACAGGTCTAGTGACCTCATACGCGACATGTCCCATCAGCGTCAACTGCATTTATCGTTGTGGAAGGGGCCGCGACCCTGATTTTCACTGGAAAACATCATGAACCGGTCACGCACGCTGCGATAAGGACGTCCGCGATTCCTCCTGGATCTCGTTAGCGAAGAGGCCGGTGGTCACCGAGCCCTTTGCACATCCATCAAACCCATCGTTGAGCAGGACCGAATAAAGCTGATGCCGCGGCTGGCGTCTGGCTAGACACGTCCACCGAACCCCCCACCATCTTCTGCTCTCCACTTCGTCGAGAGGCTGACTATGGTCAGCCCCCTCTCTCCGCAGAAGTAGTGTATCCGAAGGTCTACATGAATAGGTCAAGCGAGGTGTCGTTGCAAGCCACCAGCTACCGCACCTGCTGTGGACGTGTTGAGCACGTACTATGGGTCCAATATACTAGTGAGTTCAAGTCTCCGTGTTTCTGACTCAAAACACTCATCTTACAACCACGCAGTTCATTCACTGGCATGACTCAAGTTTCCGCCCTCTGTAAGCCAAATCTGTCCGTTGATTCACCGCGCGACATACTGACACCGTCCGTGACTTTGCAGGCCTCGTGTCGTACGACACTCTCCTCACCCTTTCAAGAGAGGTGGAACACATATGGATGCGAAAATTGAGCCTTGTCACGACAATTTACTTCTTGCAAAGATGGATGTTGGTGTTGAACGGGATTGTCACCAATCTCCCTACAGACTATCTTTGGGTGCGTATCCTCGGTGTATAGTCCGGATGATCAAGTATAGCTGATACCTTGCTCGTAGGCGTGAGTTCTTACTTTTCGATTTGGCTGGCAGTAAGATGAACGACTTCTCAGCTGCAAAGGCCAGTCAATCACCGCCAATATCTGCACAATCCTGGCGCTGGTCGGTATCGCTGGTACATGACGTTATATCCGCGATTATTTCCCGGCGAAACTAATACGACGTCTAGCTTTTTCTACGCTCAGAATATGGGCTATTTGGGGACATGAAGTCATCCCGACACTTTCTGTTCTCGTCACCAGCGCGCTCGTTCCTGCTCTCAACATTGTGAGTCTTAAATCTACGCGATTTGGAGGGCGACTGAACTTCAATATCTCGGGCTTAGTATCCAGTTTCACTGACTCAGTCATTCACCGTTGACGACGGCGATTGTGATGTCAATTACGCCCTTTCGCCGGAAGCCCTATCCAGGTAAGCATACGTTCACATTTTCGGATATCTCGTCTAACTCCCACTTGTGTAGACGTACGTTCTTGGGTTGAAATGCTGCGTAGCGCAAGGGATACTGAGATAGTTGTCTATGCAGTGGCAATTGCTGCACGTGCTGCTGCCATCGCAAGTGATGTGCTGGTGCTCATTCTTACGTGGATCAAGACGGAAGACGTGTGGCGAGAGAGCGCGAGGATGCAGGGATTCAAATATACTCTATCCACACCTATTTTTCGTAACGGTAAGCTCTGTTTGTGGCTCTCAGGAATCCTGATACTGACGTACTACTGTGACAGGGACTCTATACTTTGGGTAAGAAACCCTGCGCTTTCTGCTTGCATACAGGAATATTGACTGTCCATAGAATGATGCTGATCTTGAACATCGCCGCACTCGCTCTTGATCGTGTCCAACCTGATTTTGGCGGAGGAACAAGTTTTATTGCCGTTGTTAATGCGTATGCTCTGATTGCTTTGAACCGCCGTCAACGCACTCACTTTTTTGTGCCGTGTAGAGTTAGCGCAAATCTCATATCACGCTTCATCCTTGACCTCCGGAGCGTATACGACGAGAAGGTGTCCTTCTATACCACATCCACCATTCGCTTCGACGTGCAGTCTCTAGCCTGCGACATAAGTGCACCTCTCGGTACCGAAGACTCGACTTGGTATTCAGGGCCGAGCGACGACGTCGTTATCACAGGAGACCGCGAAAGAGAGGCAGAGGGAGTAGCCTTGTCGGTATATCCGCGAGCGGGGCTGGCGACTGAGGCATTCCGGGAAGAGGACTTGACGTACGGCAATCTTCTCATTGTTCTGCACAAATGAGGTATTTTGAAGCTGATATGTATATCTCGCAGGACGGCTTCGTCGAGTCGTGACTATAACCATGGCAAAGCGGAAAGCCCATCAAATGCTAGACCGAGCACCAGCACGCTTGAAGTGACTGCAGTGGACTGCGAGGCTCAGGCCGGTCCCAGCGACGGTAGAACACTTCGTCAAAACGTCAGTCGTAGGTAGTCATGACGTGTTCTTTATGCATGATAAAACACGACTGCCTCATCGCTCGACTATAAGTCTCATATTGGATGGACCGAGCGCGAGACGTGCAGGACGCTACGTACCTCGAAGGTGAAATCAAAAATCGGGTTGAAGGACAAGCGGACGCGAGACGGGACAAACAAGCAAGTTATGCCAGCACTGAAGACCCAATCGTCTTCGGTCAACGTAATCAGCACCAAGTCGCGTTTCGCATCTTTCGCTTAGGATGGTGGTCAATGGCCATCAAGTCACCTCCTTTCGTATAAAAGCGTGTGCAAGCCTGCCGCAATCTCGAGTCAAATCTCGTTCGCAAGTTGCTACCTAGCACCTGTCGCATCTGGCTCTCCCTGTGTCGCATTCAGAGGCTTCGCTCCCATTCTCAGCCTTGATGCCGTTCCCTGTCGTCACGTACGAAGGAGGTGAAAAGACCTATCGTGGTCTGAGCTATCCAGCATCAATGGACTTACGCAACCCGTGGAGAAGATGCCGACCTGGTGATTTATGGTACGAAGAGGTACGCCACCTTTTCTGCATGTACTTCAAACAGTTCAATTCTCATCGTTCATGCGCAATCCAGCGGCAACGGCGGGGTATGCCTTACAGCGTGACATTCCGCGA